GACGAGCTCGGGCCGGCGGGGGGAGGGGAGCGGGAAGCGTCTTTGTTGTTGGCGACCGGGATCCCTCTCGGCGCAGGGGAAAGGCGGGGAAGCCACTCCTGATCGGGTCTGTGATTTTGAGAAGATTCTCTGGTGGTTGCGTGAAGGGGAGCGGTAGGACAGTCCCTGCGGTCCGTGGAGCGGCCGGAGTCAGGGAGCGGGGGAGGGAGGACCGACCGACGCTCTAAGAAGGTCTTTGGTCCTCCTCGCAGAAGAGAAGGGTTCCATTTCATTTCCTTTGCTTTTCTCTCAGTGGATGAAAAGATGGGGTCAGGTTCCCATTCCCCTCCTTGGCGCACTGAGAGATTCGCGGGTGCCTAAAAGCTTTCTCCTGAATGTCCTTATAGCTCTGTCAGGCGCGATTTTAGATTGAATCTGCACGGGGCTTGGCGATTTGTGTATTCCGGTGGGGCTGTCGTAGGGTTCTTTTTCTTTAGATGGTTGAACTTTAATCTTACCTGTTTTCGAACTCTAAGGTAGGCTTATCAGGAATCGTTTTTGAATTGGAAAATTTAAAGGTTTTGTTTGGGATTTTTTTTTTAACCCCGAAACAAAGTTATATTGTACTGTGTTAGATTGTTAACCTGGGGTTTTTGTTTAAAAAAAAAAAAGTTCAGATCTTTGATCCTTGGTGAGATTTCTGCCAATGCCAGAAGAGAATTTTCTGTAAATGACGCTTTAATTCAGGGTGAGGTAGATTTGGTAAGCAAAAGGATGAATAACGGAATACAGAGAGGGTGACCTTTAAATTTCGCTGTTTATGGAATGTGTTCTTGCTTAATACTTTTTGTGATATATGGTGCTTGATCCACAGATGATTCATTGGAATTTTTTTATGCCTCTAATAAATCTTTGTAGATCTTGTGCCAACATATGAAACTATAATGCCTCATGAGTCGGAGTAGAAAGTCAGATACATGTTGTAATAACGTTAATCTGTTTAGATTAACAGGGAAATTTACATTAAAATGAACTTTTTCCCATAGTTTCCCTACATATGTTTATAGCATGAATTTCAGTTGGGTGACATCTAATGATAGCCAGAATTTTGAAAATTCTCATGATTGCTAGTATTCTAATTTGAGACTGCCCAACTTGTTGGAAAGTTTTTATGTGGAGAATAGGGGTCGTGTTACTTAAGGAACAGCAGAGGTAAAAATCTCTGTTGTGCAGTAATTGTCATATCATTTGAAATCCAGAAGGAAATGAATGGCACCTTCACCTATATTTTGACCTCTCTTTTCTCCTACTCTATATTAATAAGGTTAATTGGCAAGGACAGGATTAGATTTTTAGCAGGCTAGGCAGTTTTAATTTTGTCCCTTAGTGTGCAGTACTCTAGTTGATGAGTAGCTTGTTTCCTTGAGTATCTTTGCCCATTTTGAAATGTTTATGAAATGACTGCTGACAAAGAATTTTCTGTTTCCTGGGACAAACCAAATCACCAAAAAACATCATGAAAAAATAATGTTTTTAGTAGCTTAATGAACACAGAAGAATTAAGCAATTAGTGTCTGTTCCAAGTTTCACTGAATTGGTCTACAACTCCGGGCATGCTATCCCACATCTGAGTCAGTTTTCTCCATCTGTAATATAGGGCTAATAAAATGTGCCACCTGCTCACTTTATAAAAAAGGGCAGTGAGAACCATATAGGCAACAGTTACTCTGGTTACGTGACCGTTGATATATGTTAAATGAGAATACTTTTTAATGCAGTGCTCTTACTTTGTTTTGATATTGTGAATTTCAGTCCTTTGATGAACAGTCAGCATAAAGATAGGGAGAATGACTGTCCCTATGCCATTATTTAAGAATTAAAATTTCTTCCATATTAAGATTGGTGTTAAGATCTTTAGAAGCAGTGATGACAAGAAAATAGAGTATATTTTATTGGTTGATTTATTTACTGGTAGATTTTACTTCTAATTTATCCAAAGTTTTGCTCTTAAATCTGAAAATTACTCCTACCCTTCCTACTGTTTAAAATTTCTCACATACATTGCCCCATTTGCCTGTCGAGTTGGAGAGAGAAAGTGAGTTTGTGGCTTTTTTTTTTTTTTTTTGAGACGGAGTTTTGCTCTTGTTGCCCAGGCTGGAGTGCAATGGCGTGATCTCGGCTCTCTGCAACGTCTGCTTCCTAGGTTCAAATGATTCTCCTGCCTTACCCTCCCTAGTAGCTGGGAGTATAGGCACCCGCCACCACACCTGGCTAATTTTTGTATTTTTAGTAGAGACGAGGTTTCACCACGTTGGCCAGTCTGGTCTTGAACTCCTGACCTCAGGTGATCCACCCGCCTTGGCCTCCCAAAGTGCTGGGTTTACAGGTGTGAGCCACCGCACCTGGCTGTTTGTGGAATTTTCACAGATGAAATAAATAAAGCCCAGATAAGTTAATTATTTCGATTGCCTAAAGCTAAGCAATTAGTCAGAAGTAGAATTGAGGCTTGAACCTGGGTCTTCTCTAGTCCTGAATCCTTTGCTTTGGAGCAGTGTTTTCCAAACACCTTTTCATGCCTAAGAGTTTTGTCCTAGTGAAATGAGAACTAACATAGCAATATAAATGTTGGTGCCATACAATATAATGAATATCCATGTACCCATCACCCAGTTAAACAAAACTACCAATTAAAACGAAGTGTCCGGCCGGGCTCGGTGGCTCACGCTTGTAATCCCAGTATTTTGGGAGGCCGAGGCGAGCAGATCACCTGAGGTCGGAAGTTCGAGACCAGCCTGACCAACATGAAGAAACCCCGTCTCTACTAAAAATACAAAATTAGCTGGGTGTGGTGGCACATGCCTGTAATCCCAGCTACTCGGGAGGCTGAGGCAGGAGAATTGCTAGAACCCAGGAGGCAGAAGTTGTGGTGAGCCAAGATCGCACCATTGCACTCCAGCCTGGGCAACAAAAGCAAAACTTTCTGAGGAAAACAAACAAACAAAAAACAAAAATAATGAAGTGTCCTTGGTATGCTATATCTCTCTTAAATGCTATTCCCTTTTCCCCCCACATCTAACCAGTGACCCAAAGTTGACATGCATCCTTCCTATATCCACGTTTATACTTAACTACGTACCTTTATCCTATGAACATTATATATATAGTTTTATTTTGATTGTCTTAAGACTATTTAAATACAGATGTCTTTCTTTAGCTTGCTTTCTTCACACAACTTGGCCAAGATTTATCTATGTTTATTCAGGTTGCTCTAGTTTATTTACTTTTACTGTTAGGTGGTATGTGCTGTGTTATATAACTATGTCAGGTTTCTGTTGATGGTCATTTTTGTTGTTTCCACTTGTTTGCTATTAAACAGTGCTATAAGGAATATTCCTGTGTATGTTAGGTATCTGTTGTGTAAGACTTCTAGGGCAGTGGTTCTTGACCCTAACTACATCCCATGTTCATAGAAAATATTTTATAGTTCCTTCAATACTATCCTAAAATGAACGTCATAATTATCTATATTCACACTTTAAAGAAAGCAATGGCTTTAATAAAATAAGAAAAATTTGTAATAAAGTAATGTGTGTTTCACTTTGTAAATGCTTGAGCTCAAGACTACATTCAAGATTAGCTACCAGGTGTAATGGTGGACCAGCAACATCTGAATCACTTGGGAGCTTGTTGGAAATGCAGAGCGTCAGACTTTAACCTACTGATGCAAATGCTGTTTTTTTTTGTTTGTTTGTTTGTTTTGTTTTTAAATAATGTAAGAGACAGGATCTCTGGAGTCGTACAACTCACTGTAACCTCAAACTCCTGGGCTCGAGGGATCCTCCCACTTCAGCCTCCTGAGTATCTGGGACTACAGGTATACATTTTTTACAGAGACAGGGTCTTGCTATATTGCCCAGGCTGATCTTGAACTCCTGGCCTCAAGTGATCCTCCCTCCTCAGTATCCCAAAGCACTAGGACATTGGGATTACAGACATCAGCCACTGTGCCTGGCCAGATGCTGTATTTTATCAAGAGTCCCAGGTGATGTATGTACCCACTGAAATATAAGAAGTGCTGCGAAAAGAAATAGTAGTAATTAGACGCTTTGTACCAATGGGTGGTGTCTCCATCAATACAACAGCTACAGATTATGACAGGTTTGTTGAGTTAGCCATTCAAGTACCAATGCTGGAACTGTCATTGGTGGAAAATGATTTTCTGAAATGACAAACTATCTTCAGAAAAGTTTAAACAGAAATAAAAGTGCAATCTTACCTCTTTACACAATGGTTGCACTCATAACAAATCTTCATCTTCATTAAAACTATACAAATAAACTTGGTATTAAATCCTCTTTAGAATTATCTGGCATTAGTGGGTTTTTTTCCTCTTTCTGTTCCCCTCTACGAATGTCCAACAGAATATTCAAGTCATGAGGCATGGAGCAGCACTATTTATGTATGTATGTATGTATGTATGTATGTATGTATGTATTGAGACAGATTCTCACTCTGTCACCCAGGCTGGAGTGTAGTGGCATGATCACTGCCCACTGAACCCTCGACCCCCGCAAACTCAAACAATCCTCCCACCTCGGCCTCTCGAGTAGCTGGGACTACAGGCATGTGCCACCACACCCATCTAATTTTTGTAATTTTTTTGGACAGACTAGGGTTTCACCATGTTGGCCAGGCGGGTCTTGAACTGAGCTCAAGTGATCTGCCTACTGTGGCACCGCACCCCGCCCCCTGCCTCCCAAAAGTGCTGGGATTACAGGTGTGAGCCACCGCGCCCAATCTGAGCAGCACTTTCTTTGTGCAAGAAAAGTGCCTCGCATTCCTGGCCTGTGTTTAGTAGTGCCCCTCATTCAATGTAGCAGTCAAAAGCTGTCATTGAGAAAGATTGCCCTGGTTTATAAATCTGGTAGTAGATTGCTAGACCACAGGGTATAAATGTCTTCAACTTTATTAGATAACTGTCAGTTTTCTCTACAAAGTACACCTTCCAGTCCATAATGCATGAGAGAGGGTCTTCTTGTTTGCATTCCAGATATTTTAGAAGGTACAAAAATATTAGTAGTAATATTTGATTAATTTTTGCCATTCTGAAGAGTATGAAATGGTACC